TTTAGATGACATAAATGGTAATCGCCATGATCTACGAGGTCCTAGCGTCTAGACGAACATCTAGAGCGCATTTTAGAACATTGACATACATTAGAAGCTGTACAAGGTGCGCGAAGCTACCTCGTAAATAAATAAAACAAAATCAAGGGTTAAGGTTGCAATTTATCATATGTTTTTTTTTTTTTGCCAAAACCTAAATTTCCTTTCGCTTCCCAAGGCTTTCTGTTTTCGCTTCTCCGTCTTGTTTGTGTTTGTGTTCCCGTCGTCGTTCATTCTCTCCGCCGCCGAGCTTCTTCACCGCCGGTTCGTTTTTCTCCTCCGCAATTACACTTTCATGGTTTTTTCCTCCCTTCCTAACCGAGATCCCCTCTTAATGTTTCTTCATTCATCAACGAACTTTAATTCGCAGATTGCCTCAACGGTGTTAAGCTTATGGATCGATCTATGAATCTCCTAGATTTAGCCCTAGGTTTTGATCAGCACCTGGCTGATCCATCGCCACTAAGTGGGAAAGTAGTACTGATCGAGGACTGTGTAGAGACCAGTGGTTCGTTTGTGCTTCACCAGCTTATGAAACGTGTTCTCTCCCCTAATTCCTCTGACTCCCTTATCTTTCTCGCCTTTGCTCGTCCTTTCTCTCATTATGATCGAATCCTTCGTAAACTGGTAAATTCATTCACATTTGTTTTTTTTTTTGTTTCTGTCCATTTTCATGGGATTCTCAGTGTCTTACTGTGTTCTGTGTGTTTTGGGTTATGGACAGGGATGCAATTTAGCCAACCAAAAGTCGAATAATCGATTGGTTTTCTTCGACATGCTCATGATGAAGTACTCAGGTGAGATTATCAGGTACACTGTTGTTATCCTTTTCAATTGATTCTTCATGATTTTAAACTGTGGAATCGATAAATCTTTATAAGGAAGAAAGTATGCCAAGGTAGTGCCTCATCAGCCAAGTTAGCAGTCTTTGGTAAAGCATACTTAGAGTTTTAAATAGATTTATAGGAGTATCTCTAGAACAAATCTTCTGATTTACCTTCGGTGATATTTGATTGTTTAATCATCTGTTCTTCGTTGTAAGTAGTGATTTGAAGAAATATTGTAACAAGTTTATCTTTGTTCCTTGCAAACTAGATTCTGAAAATATCCGAAAGTTGTATTCTGAACACAAGTGATGAATTATGGTGTCGAGCTTAGTATCTATTTCCACGTTTTCCTTCTATTATTAAACAGAAAAGGTCTCCATTTGATTTCATCTACGTGTATTGGGCGTTTCGTTGTTTCTGTCATCTTTAAACCTTTTTTACCGAGGTACCAATAAAATCTGTTTTTTTTTATATGAAAACAATTTCTTTTGTTGAAATTCTTTAGCAGATGGTGACAACATGGAAGACAATGTGAGTACAGTTGCAAAACTATTCCGGGAGATACAAGATACGGTTCGAAAGTTATGCAGTGTAACTAATAGTAACATAACTGTTATGGTGGATGACATGTCTCTCCTGGAAATTGCTGTTACCGGCAGCAATTCAGATCATGTCTTGGACTTCCTGCACTACTGCCACTCCTTAACTTCTGAAAGCGTAAGCAATAGGCTCGGTTATTTTTTTAATTTTCTTTGCTCTTACTCCATCTGAAGTACATTATCGGCTTTTTCTTCATTATTTGAGTCTTAATGGGCGTTTTTAATTTTTTTCTAAGACAGAATTGTTCATTGGTCATTCTCAATCATGAAGATATATACTCGAGCATGGAGAGACCTGCATTTTTGCTACAGATGGTTTGCCTTGCAGATGTTGTCATAAAGGCAGAGCCTTTAGCCTCTGGTTTAGCAAATGATGTACACGGCCAAGTAATCTCGATACCCTTTTTCTTCAAATCATTAATTTGAACATTTTGTTTGATTATTCCTCAGTGTGTAAGCAGTTGTACTGGCTTATTGCTTATACAGTTGACTGTTCTGAACAAGGGGATAAGCAATTCGGGCCGAGGAAGCTCGAGGAACAAGTTGCATAATTTTCAATTCAGGATCAAGGACAATGGTATTGACTACTTCTATCCCGGTTGCAGAAGCTGAGGATTAAAGACCGTTTTGAGGGTTATTATGGTATGGTAGTGAGATGCATTTAGACATTTTGTTTTTGTTTTCGCGAAGAAGCTATGTACATTTAGGTTAAAAGATTCTTTACTCGGCTCAACATTTTCTCCAAGCATGTTCGCTCTATGACTTTTTTTTTGTCAGTTTCAAAAGAATCAATGGAACGTTTGAAATTGTGTCACATAGGCACATATTTCTTGCTCAACAGGCCAAGATTTGTTCTACGATTTTTCAGGGAGATGTATACATTTCAGGAAGTTGGATTAGGTTTTTTTTCTGGTCCTAGACCCTTCTCAACATCTGTAACCTTTCCAAGTAAGAGAGATTGTATGATTATCACAAAACCAGTTCTGACGTACCAAAACCCCAAATAATCTCTTACCAATTGAAATTAATACCACTCGTCTAAGAATACAATTAAAAAAAAATAGTTTGCAATATTCTCAAGATGAAACAACCGAAAGCCTTCCCACATACTAAACAATGTAATTTAACAAAATCAATTAATATG